CTGCTGTTGTATGTGGCAAGTTTCATTATTTCCAGGGCCCCTCTTGCATTATTTGTGTCCGGATAACTTAGTAGGGAAAACATGTCTACTGATACATCATGTAAAATAAGCAACTTAAACGGATAAATATGTTTGTCTCTTTGAGATTTCAGTCAATCTGGTTCTTGTGTTTACACTTCAGAGCTGACAGATACTATGCGCCATGTGGTCCATGGTCTCCATTCATGCTGTCACATCAGGCAGAGCTTTACGCAAAGGTGTGCTTCCAGGTTGTATCAGCGAGACATTTTGAAGAATGAAGTGGTGACAGACACAGATATGTGCCAGATATGTCCCTTTGGAGCACCATTAATTAGATAACTGTTCAGTAAAATATCCTTTCCTTTAAAGAGTTCATCTGGATCTGCTTTTCTCCAACTCTGCGACGCACCCTCCCACTATCTCATCCTCAGTGCACACCTGTTTTCCCAGCTCCTCCATTCACAAAATCCAACGGATTCAGGACCCCACCACCCGTACCAAACTCCGCAACCCCATCATCACAGGAATGCTGGGCATGTCCATTGGCTCCTGTTGTAGAAAGGATCGTTTTCGAAATCCTCACCCTCTCCTGCAAATCACTTCATGCCAGTTTGGGTCTTTTGTGTGACCCTCGACCCTCTACTCTATCATCAGCAGCTGTGCTTCCAGCCACTAGGCCCAGAACCTTTGGAACTCCCTGTCTCAATCCCTCTGCCTCGCCTCTTTTCCATCCTCAAATTGCACCTGATGATTCCTCTCCGTTTTCCAAAGCCCCCGGGGTCAAACTCTGCCACTGTGAGTCAGGTTGGCCCTGTTGTTAGCACTCTCGCCTCCACGTCAGAAGGTCATGGGTTCAAGCCACACATCAGGTCTTCAAACTCAATTAATCTAAGATGATACTTCAGTACAGTTCTGGAAATGTACTGAATTGTTGAAGTGCCGTCCTTTGGTTGCAATGTTAAATCAAGGGCCCCTCTGCCCATCAGTAATGCTCCTTTGTTCTCCAGGTGATGTACGATAATAATACTAATAATAATAATCCTTGCATTTGATATAGCGCTTTTCACGTCGGGAGGATGTCCCAAAGCGCTTCACAGAACACACTGTAGAGTGAATTGACTGTATATTTGTGGGCGAACGCGGCAGCCAATTGCGCACAGCAATGTCCCACAAACAGTCGTAGATTGAAAATGACCAATTTATTATTGTTTTTGGTTTTGGAGGGATTATTATTAGGCTCTGTGTGGAGTAAGGAAACTTGCCCAAGGTTTCGCCCTGCCTGGAATTGAACTCAGGACTCTCGCTTGCAAAGCGAGTGCTCTAACCACTGAGCTATAATGACTGACATGTAAGCAGAAAGAAAATTCATACCAGGGAACCGGGAAAAGTGGATCCTGCAACCGGTAGTAGAAATATTTTACTTACTGGAGGTGTAAGGAATGTCAAGTGGTAGGGAACAGACCCTGGTCAGCATTAATTACTGTCACAAGTTACAGATGAATATGGTTATTAAAAAAGTGCATTACTGACAAAGTCAAAAAAGTCATCATTGTACATCATCTAGAGAAGAAAGCAGCATTACTGTCATCCTCCAGTTTAAATATTAATGCTGAATTGTAAAACTTTCACATTCTCCAACTTGAATCCAATACTTAATATGATAAGCTATTAATGGTAAACTAAATGAATTTGCTCTTTGGTTACTTTAAGATACAGCAGGTAAAGTTATTTGACAGTTTATAACATATAACGTTTTCTATAATACTCAACAATATGAGAGTCCGTTACCATTCACCAGAGATTGGAAAACTCCACACAACAGCAAGTGAGTTTTTAGAAATTCTTACTATGTCAGCAATGCTCTTTTCTTACCATCCATAGTCACAAATTCACAAGAGAGTTACAGAACAAATCCTACCCTTTTTCCATTACAGCATCAAGCTGTTCCTGACATGGTTCATTGTCCTGTTCTCAACCTAATGTACCATCCTTTTTTTTTGGTCAGCCAGGTGTCTACATGTGTGGACTTTATCACGCCTTTATCACCTCAAGGCTGGACTATGGGAACTCTCTCCTCGCCGGCCTTCCTGGCACCTCCCTCCACAAGCTGCAGGTCATTCAGAACTCTGCAGCTCGTGTACTGTCCCGCACCAGGCTTCGGGACCACATCACTCCCACCCTCGCTCGCCTCCACTGGCTCCCCATCCCCCAAAGGATCGAATTCAAGATCCTCATCCTCACCTACAAGGCCATTCATGGCCTCGCTCCCTCCTACCTCTCCGACCTACTATCCCCCTACCTACCTGCCCGTACCCTCCGTTCCTCTGGCTCCGGTCTGCTCCACATCCCCCGCCCCAACCGCCCTACCAGCGGTGGCCGCGCCTTCAGCCTCTCAGCCCCGAGGCTCTGGAACTCTATCCCCCAGTGCCTTCGCCTTGCTTCCTCCCTTTCCTCCTTCAAGGCCGGTCTCAAAACCTTTCTCTTTGACCGTGCCTTCAGCTCCCCTCTCGACTCTCTACCCCCTCCTCGCTCCCTCCCTTCCCTCCGCTCACCCTGACCATTTCCCCCCTGCTCGGGTCCCGACCCAACTGTCCAACCGACGTGAAAGGCGCTCTATAAATCCAATCTTGTTGTTGTTGTTGTTGGAAACTATGTTTAAGCATATACAAACCAGAGTTCAGTGCATCCCATCTACACATGGAAATGTCAAAGAATTGGAATTGAATGCGCACTCTCTCCCTGGAGGGAAACATCTTGCTTACCTAATTCATGATTTTTAAAAACAATTGACTAAACTTACTCCCGAGTAAATATCCTTCTCTTGTAATAACTCGTATTTCAGTCAGCTTTTAATCATTTTTGTATTCCTGCAAGAATTAAGAAATATTTTTTATCCAAATTATTTTAAACTATCTTCTTCCAAACAAATGACCGAACAGAAAGAACTCTTCACTTTGACGGTGCGGATTGGGGGAGAATCATGACAGAGATATTTAAGATCATGAATGGTTTGAAAAATTTAGATCGAGATATGTCTCAAGAAAATTGAAGACCAAAGGGTCATACCTTCAAAATAAGGCTACCAAATCAAAAGAGGAATGCAAGAGATATCCTTCTTCTGAAAGGTGGAACAAACTACCAGCACCAGTGGTAGAACAAGAAAGTAGGAACTGGGCAAATTCCTTTCAAGTAAAAGCAATCAGGGTTATTAGATACATCAAAGGAATCTGGTGGGAAATTTGATGGGTTGAATAGATGGATCGATGATCTACAGCCTGTAATTATTACGACAATGGGTCTGTCCAAGATCTTTATTCTGTCTGCTATCTATCACCTTATTTAGTTATTATCACTTGAATATAGTTTACAGGAGTATTTCATAGTTCTCTGTTTGTGTCATACTGTTTTCTCTCATCCTAACAATACATGTTCCATTTCCCGTGTAAAT